CGTTTAATCCTGCACATGCCTTGTTCGCTTATTGCTTTGAGCATTTCACGGGCGGATTTCATCAGTCCCAGCATTCTTTCCACATTTAAGCTTTTCGCAGCTTGTGTGAGTTCATCTACATAAACTGCGATATTTATTCCTTGCGGCTGTACAGGCGAACCTTGTTGCGGTTGCTCGGGTTTAAGGAGTTCCTCAAAGTACTCTCTCTGCTTCAGAAGAATGTAATTATCCTCGTAATAGGGTGTCCGGACCTGTCCTTCAAGACTCGTAGACTGCCATTTTTTTCACCTAGTACTCGGCGGATGGTCCACCTGAATACGTTATTTGCCGTCTGAAAATTTGACTCTAACACCTCACCAAACTTCTCCCAGGAATCACCTTCGCCGCTGCTTTCTCTGCGGCCTTGCGCGCTTCAACGTACCACATGCGAGTTGAAGGCTCTTTGTTTCCAAGCCATTTCTTGAACGCTGCTTTATTCTCTTTAACTGCCAGTCGCACCTCCATGAAGATCTTTTCTGACCTCTGGGCGGCAGGCCAAATCGTTTAAATCCGCAGCATTCGGCGGCAGTCTCGAGCATGCCGCTCTTAAAGAGCTGCCACTTAGTTTCCAAATTAGTGGTCATTACCGGGATATGTTCAAACCGTCCTGCGATGCAGTTTGCAAATGCCGGCTCGTATCTACCTAAGATAACGTTTTCAGTTTGATTCTGTGGTTACTTCTGCCACAAAATCGTCGCATGGTACTTCATTTCTCGCAACGTTGCGTGCCGAAAGCAAAGTGGTGATGGGTGGGTAGCTCTGTGCCTCTGTTAACTTGAATATCCGTTACAGAGCGTCGTAAGTCAGATGATAAGAATATCAAATCAACCATCGACGATTTTCACAAGCTTCGCTATTCCAGATATTCTGATGCACGCTTCGATGTTCACAGAAGGAGTTCATAATAGACAATTACAGTTTGCAGAAAACCAGATCAACCCTTTACACCGTTATTGTTGAGATCGCTAGGGCTGTTCTTTCCAATTACGCCTTTCCATTTTGCAGTGTCTGCTCCGACATAAGCATTAAAATCGCCCACAAGATTGAGGGACTCTATATTTAGCACTTTTTACAGAGCACACTCCACTTCTTCAAGAAATTATTCATATTCTCTATCCAAATTTGGCGTATATATCAGTAACAAGGACAACTCTTTAGCCCGTCGAAGCTTCGGTCAGAGGTTTGCCACAACCGATTACAGGCTTCAGTTCAGTGATTCTATCAATAAGGACGGGTGTTACCAGAACCCAAACAGTGGCCTGATTGCGCATCGATATACCGATACCTGAGCAAAATAACTTCCATCCGAGAGGAAGTTTGTTATTTCGGATCCTTGGCCTTTCGTTGATGAGAATCCAGTTTATGTCGAGTTGGTATTTTGCGGCCTAATTAGCTAGCTGCTTCCCGTCCCATCTGAATGACGAGATGTTTCAATTTCTGACTGTAAGTGTCAGTTTCGCACTGACAGTGTCGCTCCTGTGGAGCCTTATCTGACGTCCTATAATGGCGTCGCTCTCTCTGCCTTTCCGTTTAGAACAGGTCATAACTCAGTTGCTGACTGGCATCTTCTTGTTCGTTTCGTCTATCTTTGGCTGTCGTTGTCGTGCTGCAAAGCCGGCTGCCAAAAGAGGAGAAGCAAGTTCTGATGGCCGCCTTTTTTCAGCCTGGTTCAATCCACCAACAGCCTGCGCAGTCCTTGGTAAGCGGGACGACGACTGCGCCGCTTTAATGTTTAATGACTGC